TCTGGCCAACTATGTCTATTGAGCAGGCCATGGAGACTACTTTACAAGACAGTGAAAAACCAGTTAATTCAGCCAGTGTTTAGCTGTTTAATTCAAACAATCCTTTTTAACTGCACAACAAAGGTTTGTGGTGATGTATTACACATCTCTCGGGAAAGCTTTATTTCCTCCCTCCTTCAGCGAAGGTGGGTAGTCCTTAAATTATGACACTTCATAAAGTTAAAATCAGTAACCCCAATTCCTTTCAAAACTTAACCTGATCTGGTTTGGGAAAATAAGTTCCCGACATATTTGTCTATCTGCTTTTTCTTTCCTGGGTGCTTTAACCAGGAACTTTTATGGGCTTTCACAGGCCTGGGGATAGTCTAGCTCCTCTGATTAACACAGCCTTGTGGTTGGATTCCCACACAGCCCCTCTCCCCACCCTTACTGCCCCTCCTCCCCCCCAAAAAAACTTTAGAAGCCAATTAAAATTATATACTATAAGGAAAGTTTGCTCAGTTACTTTTTACGATCTGCTGCCCGTTACATTGTTGTGAGGGAGTAGATCATCCTTTTTGGAAAGGGAGAAAAATGTAAACAAAGAAAAGATTCTATGGCCCTTTGACAATTTGCAGGAAAGCAGGAAATTGGAACAGTAGAGCCTTGATAATCTTGGGGATGATTGTTTAGCTTGAGTGTTCGTCCATCTCTCTTGTTTTTTGGCTCCTTTGCCTTCTGTTTCCAGGGCTTGAGGATATTTCATTGCTTGTTAGAACCACCTCCTGGTGACATTCAGAGGAAGAGAAAACTAACTCCATCTAGTCTGCTTTTAAACCAGCAACAACTGTCCTGTTCTGATTGGGGAGAATAAAGGGAGGTTTTGTCATCCACACAGCAGTGTTCTACTACCCCCCAGTGGTTCTCAGCCAGAGGTAATTTTGCCCCCCCAAGGGACACTTGGCAATGTCTCAATATATTTTTGAATGTCTCGACTTGGGAGTGATGTTGTTATCTAGTGGGTAGAGAGCAGGTTGCTGCCTGACAGCCTGAAATGTCTCAGAGAGTATGTATTAGTCTATTTGAGAGGGAAAAGATGAGGGACAAAATGAAATAATACATTCCTTAGACAGGTGCTCCTGATTTTATGCAAATCTCCTAAAACTTAGGGGCAAATGAGATTTTTATAAATCACATTGTTTCAGTGTATTAAAGGTCCCAGTTCTTAGGTGCTGGTGATACTTTACAATTTATGTTTTGCTAGAGAATATTCATTTTTGAGGCACCCTACTTAGACTAACTTTGGAAACACAAATAGGCACTAACTGGAGAGCTATATAAACAGATTTGCAAACAAAAATTTTAAATATAGTCAAGAAAGGATCAACAATATTACTTAACTTTTTACCATACTTTTTTCTTTTTAAAGACTTTATTTGGGAGAGAGAGTGAGAGAGAGAGAGAGCATGAGCAGGGGGGAGAAGCAGACTCCCTGCTGAGCAGGGAGCCCAGTGCCAGACTCGATCCTAGGACTCTGGAATCATGACCGAAGCAGAAGGCAGCCGCTTAACCGACTGAGCCACTCAGGCGCCCAACTTTTTATCATACTTAAAAAAGACATTGTACATGCTCATTTATTTACAGCAGGGTATTCCAATCTCAGCACTATTGATATTTTGGTATTTTAATATTCTTATTGATAATTGTTTGTTGCGGAGGACTCTCTGATGCATTGCAGGACGTTAAGTATATATTCGGGTTGCCTAGGAATTTTTTTCCAGTCCCTAGAGGTATTTCACTGGCTGAAATACTGCCTAAAATGAAATAAACACTCTTTTTTAAAAGATCTACAAATAAGTAAGAGGTTAATCCCTCAAGAATTTAGACTATGACCAGTTCCCTTCTTGTCACATTCTTAACTAGACCTAGGGACAGAGTTCTGAAGAGCAGACCATGATGTTTGGCTTTCCCTTTTCCCTGTCTCAACCAGTTCTGGTCATTAGCTGGCCCTGTCCCAAGTACCCTAAAATAACCTTTCCACTTCAAGTAGCCCTCAAAATGTAAGATGGTGGCCTGAGAATAGGAACTGACCTTATCAGCATTATTAATAGCACAGTGGAAAATCTTTTGTGTTCCACCAAACAAGCTGATCTTGTCATGTTTCTTTTGTGTGTTGGAATGCTGATAGGCAAGCACCAAACAGATTTGAGGTTTAAGGCCATAGTTTAAATCTTAGTTCATAGCTGACTGACTGTGGATCTTTTATAAGATGGGACAACGTGTGGTCTGGTGAGTATTCTAAATGAGGAAAGAGTTCTAAGATAGGAACAATGTAGTGGGCTACTCTTGTCCAGAACAGCTTGAGCATTTCACTTAACCCACTGTAGCAGCTCACAAATTGTTCGGAATCCTCAAAAGGAGCCAGGGAGTTCTATCCATTGGAATTTCTGCAATGAGGAAATGTTATATATCTGCTGGTCCAATTCACTTGACCACTAGATGTGTGTAACTATTGAGCACTTGAAATGTGGCCGGAGTGCCTGAAGAAATGCATTTTTGATTTTTACTTAATTTTAATTTAAGTAGCCACATGGCCTCGTAGCTACTATAATAAACAATGCCAATCTAGGAAACACTAGCTCATTCCACATCTTAATTACAGATGTCCTGATCCCTTTTTCTTTGTTTTTTTTCTCCATTATAAATATAACAAAATTAAAGAATGGTTGGAAAATAGGGGGAAATTCTGTTTAATACTCATAATTTCATGAGTCTAACATAATTGTTCCAAATTTGATAAATTTTCAAGATTTTTTCTATAAACTTTTAGATGAGTTCGGTATAATTTATCTTAATTTTGTTTAATTTTAAGTTTAGCTATTATAACCGGTTGCTTTTTTTTGCTTCACATTATGAGAGAAATAGAATTTCATATTACTGACTAATATTCACAAGCTGTCAGAGTTAATTTTTGCCAATTTCTTAGCTGGCAGTACCATAGTTTATTCATTTCCTGTATTTCTGTGAAATTTGGAGTTGTTTCATTTGTTGGCTTGCTGGCTTATTTGCTTGCTTGTTTGGTTTTACGGTCATCATAAAATAATGCTATAGTAAACACATGAGAGCACCTTGCTATTTCTCCTTTTTAGAATCCATCTACATGCCAAATGATTGAGTCTTACTTAGGTAATGGTTTACGTGGCAAATCATTTCAGCACCCCAGATTCATTTTGGAAAAAGTACTTTCTCACCATTCAGGTGAAAAATAGACTTGAAAGTTGCCAAAGGGAAGGAAAGCCAGGACTTTTTATCTCTGCAGCACCCATTTATTCAATAAATTAGGAGACAGATTACTATTCTTTCCCCTATAACAATAAGCATTGCTGATAACATATAACTGCATTCAGGGCTGATGACATAGACGTTTGGTTTACAAATGGGAAATAAGTTCCCAGGCAAAAATCCTGCAAAAAAATCCTGCAAGTAGAAAACCCTGCTGATAATCTCTAGACTCTATAAAGATGAGAAAATTAACAGAGATAAGACAAAAACAAAAACACCCCCTTTTATCTTGTCCCTTGTAAATATATATATATATATAGTTATATATATAGTTATATATTGTTACATCTCTAAACTATCCCTTTTATGATTTAAAGCAATCTGAATACAGTCCAAGTAAACTTTTACACATCTTATCCTTAGTAATTATTCTGAAGATACTGGCTTAAGACATTTTAGAGTTTGCATAGTGGTAAACTGTCACATCATTTTAAAATTTCTTTTGAAATAAATTTTGTATACTAATGGTTCTGATCCTCAGAGAGCAAAGAGATCCTGCTGATAACACAGATAAGTTGAAGACACAACATAATATTAGAATCTAAAAAAATCAAATGTTCTCATTATTCCTAATTTGAGACTTAGTTTCTGTTATATCTCTCTTTGTTTGAAGATTTGTATTTGAGGGATTGCACGTGGACTAAGTGACTTCATACTCATTATACATTAGGCTACACATGCGAAGCAGCTTTATAAACCATAAAGTAGGGGCGCCTGGGTGGCTCAGTCCATTAAGCGTCTGCCTTTGGCTCAGGTCATGATCCCAGGGTCCTGGGATCGAGCCCTGCATGCAGCTCCTTGCTCAGCTTCTCCCTCTGCTGCTCCCCTTGCTTGTGCTCACTCTCTCTCTTTCTCTCTGTCAAATAAATAAATTAAAAATATTTAAAAAATAATAAAACACAAAGTACAGTGAAAATCTAATATAAATGTTTGGAAAAGTACTCTTTGCTCATCCTGTATGTGAAAAAGAAACTTTAAAATTGGTCTAATAGAAAGAAATGCAAAACTTCTCTCCCTCCCCACCCCGCTTTCTCTGGAGCAATGAATTTAATAATTGATGGTATGGCTCTGTTTTTCTTTCATGTAGAAGAGTAAGAATGTTTGGCCTGATAAAATAACTGCATTTAGGGCTTTTATTAGTGATACCGTCTAGGGACATATATCTTCTCTTTGGAAATGGAACAGAAGTCTCCAGATGGCAAATCACTGAGACTTTGTTCATAATATGAATGAAGCACATTGCCAGAAATTCATTTCCAAAAAATCAATACTGTTTGTACTGGAAATGTTTGTAAAAATGCTTGGAATACCATCAACTCTCTATGCACTTTGTGGATTATCTGGGGAAAATATTTAAAACCTGACAGGTTTTCCTCTGCCATCGGTTAACCTCTTGCTTTCCTCCTTCAATTCTCGAAAGAATGTGAGCTAATTCCAGCATTAATATACACAACCTATCATTATGAGCTTAACTCTGCTTAAAAAAAGAATGGAAGTGATTTCAGGGTCCCGTGTAAAGGCTTAGCTGTTATTCATGCCATGTGACCCATAGTTCATGTGGACAAGGTAGAGGGCTCTGTAGTTTGCTTGTGCATGCTTTGGGCTGAGTAAATCCCAGGTTGTAAGAATTTCTAATGCACAGTTAACAAAATTCATGGTTTTATTTTTCTGAATTTCAGGTGGTTTTCATGAGCCTATGCAAAAGTTTTTGGGACTGTGGCCTGGTAGCCTTGGATGACATTACAATAGAATTGGGAAGCTGCTTGTCTCCAGGTAAGACGGTCAAGCTCTCTTTGTCTCCAGGGCCTAGGCCAGCATATCCTGATTCTCTGAGAATACACCAAATACATTTAATCTGGGCTAGCCTATTATTTTTGTTTTTCTTGCCAGAAGTGCCCCTCTCCAGATCTGTGTAGTAAGTTTTGGAATTTAGAAATAATGATTTATATGCACTGTGTGACATTGTACATATGACTTGTATCCTCATCTATAAGAGAGGTAGTAAAAGTAATACCTACCTGAATAGTGGGAATAACACCTATAAATTCCCTAGCATAGGACCTGGCATAAAACAATGTGTTAAAACAAACACCTTTTATTATAGTCACTTTTGTTGTTTTTAATGTTGTCTTACAGAAATGCAGATTTTCAAGTAATGGTGATGAAACCGTTATTATACACAGATATTATACTAAACATGTCATTTTTCTTTTTTTTCTTTTTTCTCTTTTTTAGAGAGGCAAGGAGGGGCAGAGGGAGAGGGAGGGAGAGAGAGAATCTTAAGCAGGCTCCACGCCCAATGCTGAGCCTGTAAACATGTAATTTTTAAATGATAATAAAATAAATATTTTCTAAGTGAATTAAATGGAACAGTGGATCAAGCATTGATGATAGTGACAAAATAAAGATGGTGGCTATGTGTTGGACATTATGTATAATGAGAAAATGGTGCATACCTCAATCCGGATCATTAGTCCCTGATCTACTAATTACCACTGCATCCTAAACCATAGGGTATCTATTTCTTTAACAAACAGGCAAACTGAGGAATCAATGTGTCACTAGAGGATAATCTCCTTGTTTATTTAATGAGAAGATAATTTGTTTTTAGTCCCTTGATTTGTGAGGCACAGCAAGGACAACAAAGAAACACAAGATAAGAATCTCTACACTTGAGGCATAGAAAAGGGAATGAGCCTTCATTAGCTTGTACCATCTGTAAAATGAGATGAAGGAAAATCATTATTATGCAAGAGATGTGAAAAACAGCTGTGTATTAGAGAAATTTGCTAAGAATCTGGATGTGGGAAGGTACAACCAAGTTCAAGCAAAGGAGTTTCCAGTAAGTGGGAGGTGGCACCATTCTAAGAATCATCACCTGGGTTGCCGGGGTGGCTCAGTTGGTTGAGCAGCTGCCTTCGGCTCAGGTTATAGTCCCCGGGTCCTGGGATGGAGCCCCATGTCAGGCTCCCCACTCAGCGGAGAGTCTGCTTCTCCCTCTCCCTCTGCCCCTCCCCTGCTCGTGCTCTCTCTCTCTCTAATAAATAAATAAAATTTTAAAAAAAAGAATCATCATCAAAGTTATTGAAGATGGCATCCGAAGACATAAATATTTGTTTTTGGAAAGGGAAAATAAGGCTCCAGGTAGCAAGACACCAAGCTAAATATTTATTTAGCTAATATTTATTGAGAATTTCATGTTCTAAATACTTTACTACGTACATCATCTCATTGACTACAATCCCGTGAGGTAGCACAGAAAAAGCCAGTCACGTGTTCCACAAGGTCAAACTGTGCCTCCAGAAGCACTTAGCTTTCGCACCTTACCCACCTCCCCCGAAGCAACTACAGAGTTGTTCTAAGGATTCCCTTCCCTCACCCTGGATTTCTGAAGAAACCTCCTACATTAGGCAATTTTATTATTTTCCGTATTTCCATAAAGGCAATTTGCCTCCAACTTTCCGAGCTTTATAAGCTCATTCAGGCAAATAAATTCACGGGTCAGAGGAAGTTTCTTTCTCAAAGTTATCCTGACACTTTTGAATCTAGATGTCTGATTGTTCTCCGCCTCTACGGCAGAGAGGCTCTAGCTGGAGGCAAGAGTAATGACACCACCTGCTGTTTCCCTGCAGAGAGGCTTCTACCCGCACCTGGAGAGTGTACTTTCGAACAAGATGAGTGTGCATTTACCCAGGAGAGAAGAGACCGGAGCAGCTGGTACAGGAGGAGGGGAGAGACGCCCACCTCCTACACAGGACCTAAGGGAGATCACACTACTGGGGTAGGTGAGTTACACCACATGGTGCTGTTTGCTGAGGAAGACTGACCTAGCATTCCAGGGGCCATTTCCTGCATTTTGAAAGGTGCAAAATGTGCAAATGTACGTCCTGTGTCTAGGAGGAAGGACACGTGCAATTCTACACACCTGGGATAGATCATTAAATATGTGCCCTGAAGATCCTTCTTTCTGTTTATACTCTGCTTCTGTATCTTGCGCCAAGAGGATTTAAATGGGCTTACAAAGATATGCACACAGAAATCATGTAATTAGAAGTGGGTTTATTTTTATTTTTATTTTTATTTTTTTTGAAGTGGGTTTAAAAATACAAGAGAGAGGGACAGTGAAGGAAAAAAAATGTCATGATCTAAGCTGGAGCCAGGACTGAGGCCTCATATGGAAAATGTGCTGGTGGACAAGGGAGGAAACATTAATAGGCGAGTTTGACTCCAATTTTCTAGCAGCTGAAACAAAGATGAAAAACCTGATTCACCGTGTCCTTAGGATAAAGAGGTGAAGCACTCCACCAAGGGGTGTAGGAAATAAGGGGGTGCCTTTTCTGCAGAAAATATATGAAGTACAATATAATAGACTAAACGTTGATTTATTATCACCATGTGCAGCACCTGTAAACAATGTCAGTGGTAAAATACTCCATGCAGAATAGAACTTTCTCATGGACACTCTTCATTTCGCTTGGCGTATCCATTGGATGGATGCACTGTTTGGTCCAGAGAAGCAGAACTACCCCTGATAGTGAGCTCAAAGAGATATTTCCTCAAGGGTCTTAACAGAGAAGCCATTATGACAGTAAATACAAAGGTGAGGGGCACCTGGGTGGCTCAGTCAGTTGAGCATTGGATTCGTATTTCAGTTTAGGTCATGATCTCGGGTCATGGGTTGGAGCCCCAGGTTGGGCTCCACACTCAGCAGGGAGTCTGCTTCTCTCTCTCTCCCTCTGGCCTTCCCCCGCTCATGAGCTGTCTCTCTCTAAAATAAATATATAAATCTTTAAAAATAAATACATACATACATACATATATACATACAAGGGTGAGTTAGCTACTTCTATTTCCTATGGCCTATGTTAAGATAAGCCTATGGAATAACTCCAGAGATCAACCTACAGTGTAACCTGTTAGTGATTTGGCCAAACTTGGTGGGCTGCCATCAGGAACAGCTTTATTCTTTCTTTGGATGCTCTCTCCAAACGTATCCTAAAGCATCCTCCCTTCCCCATCCCTTGGCAGATCCCATAGCTTCCCAGTCCTGTTGAGGTATTAGGGCAGTTATCTATTTATGTGTGTAACAAAATCCAATCCGAATCAAATCTTTAGTCTCTCATTCAATTGAATCACCTCTCTTTCCCTCCATTTGGACCTCATAGTTTGGGGATGATAAAAGGGAAGAAAGTTCTTTCGTTTTTTTTGTTTTATTTCCTTCTCTGCCCCTCATTTTGTGATCTTTAATCAGGATAAGTGGGAGAGAGATTGAAAGAAAAGAACTTTTAAAATACTTGGTGCTATTTCAGATTCTCTCTTGGCTGTTGAATATCCTCTGTTATAACAGATATCTGAATACTGGCTCTTTGGGGAACCACTGCACCTTACAATTTCTGACAATGTGCTTTCTGGCTAATCTCCCATGACCACCTCTTCTTCCCTTAGCGCTTGCTCAACAAGGTACAACCCACATAGATTTTTTTGCTTGGGTTCCAGCTGGTAGTTTTGGCTTGGGTCCCTTCAAGAGCTCTTAGTTCCAGCCACCTTCCCAGTGAGTGTCCGTTTGGCCTCAGATTCTAATGCACTCTTGCCTGGCTAAGAAGAGGATGTGCAGGTTGGTCCTACCACTGGCCGTCTTTTCTGTCCTACTGCTTTAGCGGGGCTGATTCTGGGACAGTGTTGCTTCAATAAGACAAGATGTTGAAGAGATTCATCATTGGTCCAGTAGAACAGATACCCACTTCCAGCACTGAGTAAAGATTCTGAGGGGGCTGTAAGAATATGTGAGGCTGTCATTGGAAGACCAGGAGGTTAAAAAGATAATCCAAACCTGTATGTTAACACTGTTTTGGTTGGGAATAGTTTATTGCCCTTTGTAGCAGACAAAAATCCACTTAGGGCTAGCTTTAGGAACAACTTGATGCAGAGGATAAAACTGTGTGATCAGGAGCCAGTTTCTCTCCTTGTCCACCTCTCTGCTCCAGTTTTTCTTGGTTGGCTCCAGTCCTAGACAGGCTATCCTCTCATGGTAGCAAGACTGCTGTAGCAGCTGCAGGTCTTTCAACACTAAATCAAGTGGAAAGAGATAACTCAAACAAAAACACAAAAAGTGAGTCTCATTGGCTCTGATTGACAATGTCTTAAGGGCAAGGTACTGCCAACCTTGTTTTTGAATCCTCATAGGGCTTACTCTTGTACCTTGTATACTACAGATGTTCAAAAATGCCTTTAGAATGAATAAATGAATCTATAAGCCTTCCCTGACACATATATATAACTAGCCATTTATTTAGCAAAACCCCTAGAAGACAGGATAGTGGGGAGGTATCTTTTTATTAGAAGAGGAGTAGAGAAAGGTCAAGAACGAATCAGCTTGAGTTAGAGTCCATTGTAGTCACGATGTTGTATTTATGTGCATTTTTCTTTGGTGGGAGGAGGGTTGACAGTTTTCTTCCATTTCTCAGAGACGCTGAGAAGGCTAGTGGTAGCAGATCTGAGAAGAGGTACTCTCAAAGAGAGCTATGCTGTGGTGGATTGCCACAGGGGAATTTTCAGGGCAACAGGCCGTGGAATGTCTTGGACATGGAAGAGAGGGCAAAGCAAAAATATTAAGCAATGGAGGGAAAGGGTCTTTGTTTTTTTTTGTTTGTTTGTTCTTTTACCTTTTTTTTTTTTTTTAATTTTATTATGTTAGTCACCATACAATCATCATTTGTTTTTGATGTGGTGATCCACGATCCATTGTTTTCGTATAACACCCAGTGCTCCATGCAGTATGTGCCCTCCTTAATACCCATCACCGGGCTACCCAATCCCCCCTCCCGCCTCCCCTCTAAAACCCTGTTTGTTTCTTAGAGTCCATAGTCTCTCATGGTTCATCTGTCCCTCCAATTCCCCCCCTCATTTTTCCCTTCCTTCTCCTAATGTCCTCCATGCTATTCCTTATGTTCCACAAATAAGTGAAACCATATGATAATTGACTTTCTCTGCTTGA